TGTTTCTGTTAAGAAAAAAAGAGTAATTTTATACTGTAATATTTTCTTTTTTGGTGAGGAAGATTGGCCCTGAGCTAACATCTGTTGCCACTGTTCCTCTTTTTTGCTTGAGGAAGATTGTTGGTGAGCTAACAACTGTGCCAAGCTTCCTCTACCTTACGTGGGATGCAGCCACAGCATGGCTTAACAAGTAGTGCTAGGTCTGTGCCTGGGATCCAAACCTGTGAACCTTGGGCCACTGAAGTGAAGCACACAAAATTAACCATTATGCCACCAAGCCAGCCCCTATACTGTAATTTTGTTAAGTAAAATTACTGGTTATTACAGAACTATAAAGAAAAAAGGAATAAGACAAAATCTAAATGGATAATAGAAAGTTGAAGGCGGCTTGTTTAGAAATTCTATATTGCAAGGTCAAAGTTAGCTAAAATTAAATGGATTTATTTATAAGTGTTTTTAAAAATGAGATCAATAATGTACTGATGCAAACTAGAGTTTGATTTTCTCTTTGTTAAAAGTTTCTTAGCTTATTGGTCTGCACTTAACCAGACATTATAAAAGGTTTTTCTTTACCTTTTGTGTAACCTGCCTAGGAATCGAAGATTCTGTGCCTTAGCAAAATAAGTTCCTGTGTTTCATGTTGTTTTTATCAGATCCTTGATTACTTAGGAAAACTGAATCTTCTCAACACTAAAAGAGCTAAGGTTTTTTAATAACTATATAACTGTTCGTATTTGCTTTTGAAATCTGTTAACTGTCACTTTGGTTGAATAGATAACTGAGTATCGTTTCAAAAAGAACTGTGATCCTATTTAATCAAGTGTTTGACATTTTTGAGAAACTTTCCAAAATCTAAATGAAGTCTTTTTGATCTCAAACTAACTTTGGGACTTTTCAGAGGACCCCGGAAGATCTCACAAGATTTGTTCTCTCCTTATAAAAAGAGAGATATTAAACTAATTAGGCTATTTTGATATGTTGAATTGCATAGGAAGCATTGTCAAATAAAGGTGATGCTTAACCTCTTTAGGTTATATTTATATGGATATATGTTATTAATATAAGTGGTCCAGAATCTGCATGAAATTCCTAGAAATCTGATGTGTCCTGGTATAACGTTATCAATCATAACTCTAGTTATCATCTTAAAATATTGTAGGTCACAGAAATAACCAAATTTACATAATTTTGTTATTTTTTAATAGTGAACTCTTACCAGATCTTTAATCATGGCTATTTTTAAGTCTTTTGCCATTCACAGTTATTTTACTCCTAATTCTTCTCTGAACGCATTTACAATCATTACAGGCCAAAATGCTTTGTCTTATGGAGAGTCATGGAAAGGACCCTGCCAAGTACTGCAAAATACAGGTTTCTGATAACTTTAAAGATCATACCACTGAACCGGGTAAGAATTTCCACAACTTTAATGGAGAAACTGATTAATTCTTAAAACTGCTAACCCAAGATCAAAGAAAATAAGGATTCGTTTCATGAGACTAAATGAACTGAGGAAGATGATGATAATTTTTATGACTTTGAAATGTTGTTAGTTCTTTAATGTTTGTTTTCCAGGCTTAAAGAACCCTTTTTCTCTTTTCTTTGAAACTATCTATAACTTACAATAATTTGGTGAAGTATACTCTTGTAAACAAAATGAAACATTATTTTCCCAACTTGATCCCTTCAGAATTGAAAACTCTTATTGACTATTCTTATGTTCACGACAATACAGATATTTGCCTAAATTCACTAAGAATCTGTTCTCCCTGTAACAGGACACAACTGGACCAGTCCTTGGATTAGCTTCTTGGCATAAAGAGGCTTTAAAAGTTCTAATCGGAGATTCCTTATTACCAGACAGTTTTAAGGAACTAAGGTTGACTTTACAGAGCCAATAAAGCCCCTTGGACGTTACCAAAGTTTTGATTAAAATATCGTATCTGAGAAGGTGCATAACATCACTATTCTTGCTGCACTCATGTAAATAACAAGCCCAGTAATGAGACTAGACTATTTTACAAACAAAATTCATCTTATTGTGATTACCTTTGGTAAAAATGGAGTGTCTACAGACAGAAAAATTGTTTCAACAGAAAACTTCAGTGTACCCATTATCAGCCTCCAATCCTGCTCACTGTCTTTGAGGTTTTGTATCTACTGGTAAACTGGACTGGATCCTGAATTCCTCTAGTTTCCTCCAATATCTGGCTACATTTCCAATTGTCTCCCACCCTTCTGACATTGAATAAAAACTAAAACTTCCCTTTTCTCCAAACCCTACAAGCTAAAGCCGTATGTCTTGGTATAAACTTCAGAAAAATCACCACAATAGATCATGTATAGACAACTCTCATACCTACTTCCATGTGAGCCACTCAGAGAGCTTACCAGATGACATCATCAAAGACATTCAAACTGCAAACCAGAATCCATCAGATTGAAACTGCCATCCTCACTCCACGATCTGGAGATTCGAGCTCAAATCCAGAAATGTTCTCAACTGGCTAGACTCAGAAACTAAGCTTATAATTTGTTGCAACTATTAACCTTTATCTTTCTTTTGTTTCCATAGACATGCCTCTTATTAACTACCCGATGCTCACACCATCTAGAGGCCTAACTTAGACCTAAGCTTACCTATAGAACACCGCCTCCTGAAATAAGACATCTTCCTGTTTATCCTGTCCTAAGTATTGAAACGCTTATTTCCACCACATCCAAAAAGCTTTCTATGATCCACTTCCAAAGGAAGACAATGTGCCCCATACATTGGAACCTAGACGCTTCATTTATTGGAAAAGACACTAACAAAAGACAGCACTTAAACCTTATTAGGAGAGACCTTATCCTCTGCAAAGTCTCTACAATTACAGCAGGAATCTATAAACTCTTCACCCAGAGTTGTATTAGACAATTGCATAGCCTTAGACACCCTAACCACCCCACAAGGGGTGCACGTGCTGTAACTTGTAAAAAATGCTGCTTACATTAATAATGTAAGAATTGTTACCCCAAATCTAAAGATCTTAAAGACCAGATGCCAATCTCTCATCAAATAGGCAATGGTTCTTCCATTGATTTATTTAGTGATTAAATCTTGGCTTCCGCTCTGGGCAATTTTTCCATCCTTAGCTATTATCCTCCTCGTAGTCATCACGTTAACCTCCCTAGCCTGATGTATCCTTTCCAGAGTTTTAAATGCCTTTCAGTCGCCACTCACACATCCAATGTTATCAATCAGCATTAGACACCTCGGAAGAACTCAGTGATCCCCCCGCCCAAGTCTAGGATGACTACACAACTGTCTCCCACAGTGATTACATAACCATTCATCCCAATGCCGACATCAACAGTGGTGGTGAGAGTAACACTATATCGGTTCACATTCTCAGCTTGCCAACAGAATGGCCAAAAGGGGGGAATTTTTAAAATAAAATAAACCGGAGACCAGGCCTGAAAATCCCCCAAGCAGACCAAACCAGTTAGGCTACACAAGGGAGACAATCTAGTTTATTTCATGAACATAAGAGAAACTTCACGTGTTATTTCTTGTAAATGCCTCTGATAATCAAATTGTCTTCCTAGAAAAGTGTAAGACAATCACTTTTAACCAATCCTCTATCAACAGTCAATTCCCACTGCAATAACCATTGTAATGGTTAAACACCTTCCTCATCCTTACTTGATAAGCCATCCTGTGACTATATGCATCTGAGCTTATTTCTCCCTCAATAAACTATTCCTATCAAGTAAAGGTCTCTGAAATTTCTTTTGGTATTAGGCATCCTTCTGAAGACTTGGCGTATGTTAAATTTATTCCTCACTACAACTCCATGACCTAGGTAGTTATTACACTGATTTTACAGCTGGAGAACTCGGGCACAGAGAGAGATTGTTACTCTCCCACGGTCACACAGCTGATGAAGGCGGAGCCGGGAGCTGAACCCAGCAATCGTAATCAGGATTCCTGGCTGCCTCAAAGAACCGATATTTATCCCAGTTACAGAAACGGGCGGAACTTCACTGAAGGCTTTTGACAGCCCATCTGGCGCTGTGTTTTGTTCTACCGAGGCTTTCAGCTCCGTGGGAAACAGGCCGCTGCCGGGAACTACCCGGGCGGGCCTGGAGCGGTCAAGGCTGACAGCGTCCGCACACCCATCGAGGGGCGCCCAGGGCAGGGGACGGAGGGCAGGCCTGCCCAGCAGCCCAGTCGGCACAACTGTCCTCGACGAGGAGACCACAAGTCAGGAGCCCAGGAACAGAAACACCAGCGGGGCCTCTCCCGAGTCTGGGGTGGGAAGGGGCCGGGGAGGGAGAGCAGCGCAGGGCCTGGCCGCGCGGAGGAGCTGCTGGGGCGGGGCGAACGGGAGGCGGCGACGGGAGGACTCACAGATCCAGGAGCTGACTGACCCGCTGCGGGCGAGGCATCGCGGCCGCCCTCGGGAGCCTCTTCCGCGGTCCCAGGGCCGCCCGAACCCAGCCAGAGACCGTCCGACAACTCCCACCCGCCGCGCGACGCGTAACCCCCCCGTGACGTCACATGGAGTCTTCCGGTGACCCGGGCGCGGCTACGCTCGGGATCACAGAGGGAAAGAAGAGAGCCCCCCCTCGGGGCGGAGCCTCCGAAGGCTGTGCGGAAGGCGCTGGGAGTAATAAAATAGAGAGTAGCCCTAACGCGGGTGAAGCACGACGGGAGTTGTAGTTCTTCCCCCTCGCGGGCTCCGGATCCGGGCGGTTTCCAGGGCGTTTCAGCCTAGCGGGCCGCCGGTCCGGTACGCCTGGTGCTGCGCTTAGCTGAGATGAGAGGTCGCTGCTCTAACTGCCGGATTGGGTTTGATGCTGGGCCATGCGTTTGGGGATGCACACCGGAGACCCCCTCGGATACAGACTCCATACGGATACCGTCTAATGGAACATTTTAGAGCATTCGTGAGCGACTAGCCGTTTATCGAGCACTTTCTATGAAGCACGCGCTGAGCTACATGCTTTCAGTAATTAACCATATTCATTTAATCCTGTGAAAGTGGAATTATTTAGCCTTGTTTTACAGATGAGGGCACTACATTCCAACAAAAAAGCTCAGTAAGAATTTCGTCGGGGGGTGGGGGGACATGTTCAAATCAGAAAGGATTCTAAAGAGGCACCTTTCCTCAGGTACAATTCTCTCTCCTTGGTTATGCTGCACAGTACTTGCTACTTTTTAGTGCTTTTTCATTCGTCCTTGTTGATTGATTTGTCTGTATGTCTGTCTGCCCTTTGTGAGCTCTTGAAAATTGGAAGCCAGTCTTGTTCATCTCTTCAGGATGCTGCTTATTCAGTCAACACGCATTTATCAAGCGCTGAAGCAGGGCAGAGATTGTGCTGGGCGCTGAGGATTCGGTGGTGAACTCTTGGAACAGACAAGTAAAAGGACGATCAGAATAAGTGTTAAATCTTAAGATGGGGATAGTTCTATGGGAGCACCCGTGGAGGGGTGGGGCGAGCAAATCAGAGAGAAAAGAGTGGTCTGTTAGGGACTGCAAATAGTTCAGAAGAGCTACAGTGGGGAGTAGTGAGAGATGAGTGTAGAGCAGAGATTGGCAAACTTTTTCTATAAAGAGCCAGATAGTAAATATTTTAGGTTTTGTGGGCCATACTGGCTGGGTCACAGCCACTCAACTTGTAGCTCAAAAGCAGCCACAGACAGTATGAATGGGTGGGGCTGTGTTCTAATAAAACTTTATTTATGGACACTGAAGTTTGAATTTCATATAGTTTTCAGTGTCATGAAATATTCGTCTTTTGATTTTTTTCAACCGTTTAAAAATGTGAAAACCTTAAATTGCAAACTGTACAAAAACAGGCAGTAGGCTGGATTTGGTTGGGCGGTGGTTTGCCCTCTCCTGATCTAGAAAGCTAAAATGGGGCCTCATGGCCTGTGTTATGTTAAACAGTTAAGGCTTTGTCTGGAGGACTCTGGGCAGAGTCGTAAATAGGTTTTAAGCAAAGATAGGATGTGCGTAAGAAAGATTTTAACCGAGCCAGGGCTCATTCTGCTTGCCACAACCTTGAAGCCAGTCAGTTGCAAGAGGAGCCGGTGGTGGAAAAAGGGATCTATTTGATTAGCCAGCATAATTGGAAGATGGTGGGCTCATGTCCGAAAGACCATCTTAAACAAGCACAAAGTTTAAGCAGTTATATAGGGCTGTGGGCTATGAAGGAGGGACTCAGGAATGTTGACCATCTGACATCAGTGACTGGAGGGGCCACACCAGGCCTTTCAGTCGTCATCGATCGTGGATGCCAACACAGATGTTCTTCTCTGAGGAGGTCGTCATATTCCTAAGAAACTCATAAGAACAAAGTCATCATCTATCAGTACAAGGAGGTACATGCGTCAGCCAGGATTATAAAATCTGCAGAGTGTGCATATTTCCCAGAGGGTAACTATTTATCACCTAGGCTATGTGCAAGTTAAAACATATACAGCTGAGTGGGTTGGTTAGAGGTTTTTCTAAGTTACAGTATGGCTTCCGTCATGTCAACCTTGCTTCAGGCCTGTATCAAGATGAGTGTTAGAAAGAACTCTAACTGTTAAGTGGTAAATGAATTGTGGAGGTTGCAGGTAGAGGCTCAGAGACCAAGCAGGAGTCTGGGTGATAGTCTAAAGTAATAGCAGTGGAATGGACGGACAGATTCAAGAGGTGATAGAGGTAGAATTGATAGGATTTAGAGATTGGTGAGGGTGGGGGAAAGTCAAGAGTCAAAGCTAATTTCTAGGCTTTGGATTTGAAGAATTGGGTGGCATTTGGTGGTGCCATTGATTCAGCTGAGAGGATTAGAGGGGTTTTTGAAGAGAAGGGGAGACTACTTAAATTTTGGACATGTGGATTTTGAAGTGTCTTTGGAAAATGCAGGCTTGGAACTATGGATCTGGAAATTGTGCTGATTTGGTTTTAAAGAAGAGATTGAATGGCAGTGATAGTGCATGTATTTACTTATGAATACAATCATTTTTTGGCAGAATCTTCTGCTGCTCTGGGAGCCAGTTAGACTTGGAAGACCACGGAAGAACTTGACAGCAGATAAGGGCAGAACTTCATGGTCATCCCTCGCTGTCACTCCTAGCTGTCTCCATAGGGCTTCCCTTTGATTGCTTGATCGTTCAAGGAAAATGTAGGGCCCTGCGGCAGTGTTATGAGGTGTCCAGCTTTGGGTGCCTGCATTCTTCTAGATAGTTAAAAGAAGTTGTCACAGCTGGGTTTTTTATTTTTTAAGAAAACATCAATTACTTAACAAGGTAAGATAAAGTCTTAGTTGTTCCTAACCATCTATTTTAAAGGTTAAAGATGTGTAAGCTCTCATGATATCACAATTCTTAGAACTAACGATTTCCTGCGTGTTTTTGGGCCTGCAGTATCTTCAAACCAGCCTCTCAGATATTTAGCATAACTGTATCAAGAAATTTATTTTGAGTCTCTTGCCACTGAAGAAGATCGATCTGATGTACATTGTGGTTGCCTTGACATACTCATTTCATCCCTCCCTTATTTTATAGCAGTTGTGTCGTTTGGGGAAATGACCCTGTCTTCAGAGGTTGGTCTAGATTAAGGCTAAGCAGTGCTTACTACAGTGAATGATACAGCGATTAGCATGCCTAAACCAATGAAGACATCACCGATATTCCCTCAGCCACAGGGATGGGTTCAAGAAAGGCATGTAGGCATGTGACTCATTTGGGGCCAATAAGCAGGAAAAGTTTTGCTGGAGATTTCTGGGAAAGAAGTTTCCTTGAATTTATGACATGCTTTGTGAAGCAACACTCTTTTTTCTCAGTCTCGTCATGTTGAATGAAGTTAAGCAGAGGAAGACAAAGGAAGAGAATCACGGGAGAACAGCCAGGGTTGTGATTGAGCTGTGCCTGAACATGACCCCTCCTCTCTACTGTCAAATGACAAAAATAAAACAATTTAGCAACGAGTTTGATATTGTTTTTCACTGGAACACAATCCATAGATTGGGGGAGCACGGTGCCTCACAAGCTGTGGAGCACTCTTCCCGAGGGATGTTTGGACAAGAGCAAGTCTTACAGTGTTTGAAGAGCAATGAGGAAACAGGGCATGAATGGCTAGGAGGTCAGGGATTTCCTCATAAGGCTAGCAGGTCAATCAGGGAAGAAAGAGTGCTTGGCTTAGATTGATCGGCTGGGCTTGCCTATCTGAGAACAAGGAAATCATTACAGATTCTTGGCAGTTGGGATTGGTTGGGTGGATACACCAAGCTTCTGGTCAAGCAGAGCATTTACAGGAACATGCAAGTTATTTAAGTTTTGGTTTACTGACATGGCACCTGGGAGGGAGTAGCTCCATCTTGGGGCTAGCAATTTATTTCAACACTACTTTCTGTTATATAATTCAGCTAATCTCCTTTGTTGTTGCTAAGATCAGTGGAGTTGAATTTTCTCTTTCTTGCTGCCCAAAACACTAACAGTTACATATTCATAGCTGAAATCACCACCATATAGATGGAAATTGAAGGCATAAGAATACATGAGGGGCTGGCCTGGTGACGCAGTGGTTAAGTGTGCCCGTTCCACTTCTCAGCAGCCTGGGGTTCGCTGGTTCGGATCCTGGGTATGGACATGGCACCGCTTGACAAGCCATGCTGTGGTAGGTGTCCCACATATAAAGTAGAGGAAGATGGGCACGGATGCTAGCTCAGGGCCAGCCTTCCTCAGCAAAAAGAGGAGGATTGGCGGCGGTTAGCTCAGGGCTAATCTTCCTCAAAGAAAAAAAATAATACATGAGCTCACCCAACAGGTGTATGTAGAGTGAAAAGCGTGTAGAGTATGTAGGGGTCCTTGGAGAGAGAGCTGAGGAATAGCATTTGGTTGGCAATTGATGCTGAGAAGGAGCAGCCAAAGAGGTAGAGAAAAGAACAGTGGGTGCTACAGAAGATAAACATGATTAAAATTGTCACATGCTGCAGAGAGGTCAAGTAAGATAACACTTGAAGGTGATTTAGCAACAAGGTCATTGAGGCTCATTGTCAGGACGCAGCCTGATTGTAACAGGACGGATGAATGGGAAGTGAGGAAACGAACACATAAGTAGCTCAACTCTCACTCAATAAATACTTGTTCAGATGAATTGCTGCTTCCGTTTAGACTCATGCTGAGAAGAAAAGGAGATTGCGTAAGGATATAGCTCTACTTCAGAGAAGGTAAATGGGACAATTCAGAACTGTTATTTATGGACCTTCTAGGTGTCAAACACGGTAAACACACGATTTCATGTAATCAGTTAACGAGTCTGAGGTATCATGCTATTTTATAGATGGAGGGGAGAGCTTTCTCAAATGAAAAGTTCTGTCAGACTCCAAAGACCATGCTCTTTCTACTCTACTTGGGTGCTCAAGGAGAGAGGGTTATGGTGCATCCAGGACCAGCAGTACAACTTGCAGGGCCTCTTTTTAAAAAGTTATTAAGAATTTCAAGATGGTGATAGCAGAGCTTTAAACCAAGGGCGGGGCCCTGTGTAACTGCACACGTGGCCTGCGTGTGAAGCTGGCCCTCAGTGCATCCATCCAACCTCTGAACTTCACCAGAAAATCAGTTCCACTACGACTATTCAGGAACTTTGTCAAAACAAAATCCAGGGACAAATCCAGGAGAACATTTTTCCTAGCACTTCAAGGGAACTAGGCTTTCAGAAGTAGTGGCCCATCCTATAGAAGAACAGGGATTTATAGCTCAGATGATGTGGCAGATATTTATAGCTCAGATATGACCGTTGACAATTCAGATTGGATAAGAACAGAATGTTCCTGTCTTTTGGTAAGGAAAACAGGATGTTCTTGTTTTTGTGGCTTATCTCGGGAGGCAAAGCTTTTAGGATTTCCTGTTAGTCAAGGCTTTTAGGAGGTTCCTGTTATTCATGGTTTATCTTGGAATGCAAGGTCATTAGGAATGGAAGTCTTTTCTGGTGCATGGTAAGTGATATGTGGCTGGGGGTAGGCTAAGGGCAAGATGTCATTTTCCCTTTCCCACCTCTTTATTTGCTGTGCCCATTTTGCTAGTTTCCTCCAGCTCGGAACCTCCTCCATTTCCTACCCTGGGTACCGGGTAAAGAAAACTTTATTACAAGTTTGTTCCTCTGCATAGATTATATAATAGCAATATTACTTTCCTTAAATCATGCTATTCATTCCTAGTGTGTGTGTATAAAAATATATAATAAGTATATATGTATATACAAAGATTAAGTATATCTCTTATGCCATATATATGTAAATATGCATATATATATATAGATGGGGAATCTTGGGTTGATAATAATGTGTGCACACAAGTAGATGGCAGTAAATTGTTGTTCAAATCATCTTTACATGGCATATCTCAAAATATAACAAGAGGCTATGAATCAGGTTCTTAAGCCATACTGCTTATATTTGGATTCTAAATAGCAATTGCTCTTCTAATATTAATTTTCAATTCAGTATAACATATACATCATCTATTACTAACCCCAAATCATTTCACTTGGGTATTGTTAAGGTGTCCAGACTAGGCCCCAGATGGAGTTGCTTATGCTAAGCCCCACATCCACAAACCAGAACTTAAGTTTCTTTTTCTTTTCTTTTCTTTCTTTTTTTTTTTAATAAAAGATTGGCCCTGAGGTAACATCTGTTGCCAATCTTCTTTTATTTTTTTCCTTCTTCTCTCCAAAGCCCCCCAGTACATAGCTGTATATTCTATTGTGGATCCTTCTAGTTCTGCTACGTGTGATGCCACCTCAGCATGGCTTGATGAGCGCTGCTAGGGCCGGCCCCAGCTAAGTTTCTATGCTTGGCTGTCCCAGAAAAGGAAGGCCCAGGCCAACCCATCAGCAATTGTCTGCTTAGCACAAGTTACCTGACCCGGCTCCATCTCTAAGACTTCCCTTTGCTCCATGTAAGGGAAGTAACCCTACTTTAACCAATCAGCAGATACCCCGTATGACTCTCTTGTTCCTGCTAGCTTTGGTCTATAAACAGTTCTTGCCTTGTACAGCTCTTTGGAGTTCCTTGCTCTCTGCCAGATTGAATGCTACCCACTTCATGAATTGATGAATAAAAGCCTGCCAGATCAGTAAGTTGTCTGTGGAAATTTTTCAGCATCAATGACAATTGTGAACATTTATTGAGTGGTTAGAATAATGCATTGCACACAGTATGTATTTTATAAGTTCCAACTCATTTAATCCTCAAAGCAACCCTGATTGGTAGGTATTTTTACTATTATCGTACCCATTTTCCAGGTGAGAAAATTGAGGCCCAAAGAGATTAAGAAACATGCCCAAGTCTGCGTGGCTAGTCGGTGGTAGGGCTGGGATTTGAAACCAAGCAATTAGGCTGCAGAGCTGTGTTCTTAAGCAATGCTATGTTGCTGCCCCTACAACTTTAAAATGAAAACTTTTGACAGTTCTTCATAATTATAAAATATAGTTAGAGATTTAGAGCTAAAGGATATCTTAGCTATAATTTATTCCAACATCCTAATTTTACAGTTTGGGAAACGATGTTTCAGAAAAGTTGACTGAGTTCTCAAGATTTCTGAGCAGACGAAGGGGAAAGATGGGACTAGAACTTAGGTTCGACCATTCCTGTCCTAACAATCTTTAGGTTCTAACTCTGAAGAGGGCTGAAGACAAACAGAACAAAGATAAGCTAGATGAGCCACTATTTTATTTTATTTTATTTATTGTTTGTTTGTTTGTTTTTATTTTTTTCCTTTTTCCCCCTAAAGCCCCCCGGTACATAGTTGTATATTCTTCATTGTGGGTCCTTCTAGTTGTGGCATGTGGGACGCTGCCTCAGCGTGGTCTGATGAGCAGTGCCATGTCCGCGCCCAGGATTCGAACCAACGAAACACTGGGCCGCCTGCAGCAGAGCGCGGGAACTTAACCACTCGGCCACGGGGCCAGCCCCGAGCCACTATTTTGTTATCCTACCATGTGCAGGTTATTTCCAAGTAGGAGTGTCCTTAATTCATGCCAATGTGAATATAAAGTGTGTCTGTTTATATCTTATATTATGTCTACTCCAAATTGGGAACTATGCTCATGAATTCTTATGCATTGTTAAAATTTTCCATTGACTGGACCTTTGATTTAATTTGTTTCTAGGCTATAGACCCGTGTCTTTCAAATTCTCAGGAGTTTGAGGCGGATGAGGTATGACTCAGGATCCAAGCAGGAAACAGCCAGGCAAAGTCAAACAGAGGCTGTTTACAAAGGTGTGGGCAGAGTTAAGGGAAAACAGGGGTAAGGGTGGTTCCATACACCAGGGCTAGCAATAGCAGGAAGCCTTTACCTCTCCCAGTCCTGAAAGGGCAAGGGGAGGGAGCAGTTACCAAGACCTGGAGAGAGCGGCCACAGGCGTGGCCAACTAAGAGGAGCTATGGCCTTGGGTCAGTAAAGGGACATAGCCAGCCTGTGGCAACCCAGCCAGGAGGGAGCTGGGAGAATACATACTCTAAGCTCGTTCTCCATCCCCCTTTTGATCTCCTGCTGGTGCCTCTCATGACTTCAACCCAACCAGATGTTCAATGTCAAAGGATCCCAGTTTTTGCAGTCTACAGAGGTCAGCCTGTTAGAGCCCAGAGTAGAGAAGGCTAGAGTGGAAAATATCCAATTCATAGACCATGGGTTTTTAGATAAAGTAATTAAATGTCACAAACATTTTGAAAATTAATAAGAAGAATAGCTTAGTCCGAACCAAAATATTAATTACTATAGTTTCCTAACAATGACAGGGATGGCAATTGTGATCTTTCATCAGGATGCTGAGAGCTCATGCAGTGACAGCTTAAGCCCATCTTTTTCCAGTTAGCTTCACTTGTTATTTTTATTTTTACAAAGTTATATGAGTCCCAATTCACATTTATTAATCATTTGCAATGGAATCAAATGCCTGGTATTTCTGTCAGATTAATCAGACTTT